TTTATGGCGGAGATCTCATGTATCAGATCCAGAGATGCGACAAATTCAAAGAGCCTGTCGCCTGCTTTTATGCCGCAGAGATAGCCATCGGACTCTTCTATTTGCACTCAAAAGGCATCATTTATAGAGACCTAAAGCTGGATAATGTAATGCTGGACGCGGACGGACACATCAAAATTGCTGACTTCGGAATGTGCAAAGAGGGCATCACTGGCAACAGAACCACCCGAACCTTCTGCGGAACTCCTGATTATATCGCTCCCGAAATCATTGCTTACGAACCCTACGGGAAATCTGTTGATTGGTTCGTCTTTGAATTTGATTTGTCGGCTTTTATTTCATGTTTATTTGATTTTTATTTTGACAACACTTTTTCAGGTGGGCTTACGGTGTGTTGTTGTATGAGATGCTTGTGGGTCAGCCCCCTTTCGACGGCGAGGACGAGGAGGAATTGTTTGCCTCCATCACTGAACACAGCGTTTCTTATCCCAAATCCATCTCTAAAGAAGCGAAAGATATTTGCAAAGGATTTCTCACTAAAAGTCCCTCAAAAAGGTTGGTGGCGAGGACGAGGAGGAATTGTTTGCCTCCATCACTGAACACAGCGTTTCTTATCCCAAATCCATCTCTAAAGAAGCGAAAGATATTTGCAAAGGATTTCTCACTAAAAGTCCCTCAAAAAGGTTGGGTTCCGGGAGTCGAGAAGAGGAGGATATCAAAGGACATCCATTTTTCCGAAGAATTGATTGGAATAAGATTTATAATAAGGAAATTCAGCCGCCATTCAAACCATTGATCAAAAGCGCGCGTTTGGGTGAAAATTTTGACCCTATCTTCACAACCGCTGAAACCACTCTCACTCCCAGTGACCACACAATCATCAATAATATGACTGGAAATGAATTTCAAGGATTTTCTTATGTCAACCCATTCTTCAATCAAATTCCTCTCCAATAAACTATATATCAAATACTTTTTAAGTTACAATTATTGTTAATGTAACCAAAAAATACTTTTATAATCTATTTTGAAACTTTTTATCCATTCTTATAAGTTAGAAAGCATTCAATTTTTATATTCACTTATTATATTTTTTTATAAAATATTTTAAATATGACCTAAATTTTTATAACGCAAAGTTAAAAATGTTTCAAAGAATAAATATCAAATTGAAGTGATATTGTGTATAGTTGTTTAATACTGTATTGTATGAACTCGCAATAATTGTTGCTTGGTCCATTTTTATTGGTAATGATATTTTTTCATGCCATACTTGATATAGTTAAACCTACAAAACGTGCCTTATTAATGAGAAATTAAGATTTTTAAATCGTAATACATTAATTGTTCCGTTATTTTAAAAAGTCTAAAATAATATAGTAAGTAAACTTACTGAACTAATAAGAATGACAGTGAGTCTGAGTCTGCCATTCTTTCGACTAAAAGCTAAAAAGATTTTAAACTCGTTTTAGAAATCGAATCCAGCAAATAATATAAATACCAACAACCATTTACCAGTTAGTTATTAAGAATCACATATTGAGATTTTTAGAGTTATGAAATCATATCAACTTTATCAAACATTTTGCAATCAATAGAAAATATTATCTAAAGGTTTAGTCATTACGAGTTGTATAGTAAATGTGATAGAATTAACAATTTATCTGTTAGAAACTTGATAGACTTTAATTAAGTATAAAGTTTATATAAACATAATGAAATAGGTTTAACTTACTTGTACTGTACTGTTATTAATAATATACTTTTGCTTGTGAAACAACATAAAACATTGTATGCAATATTACATTACTAATGTATTGAAGTAGTGTTTGAATAATCCATGACCATGAGACATTGGTATTGAATACTTTTGCCCATAAATATTATATTTTCAAAATATTATATTTAATTATGCTGACTTATTTGTTAAAGAATATTTACTATTAAGTTAGTATAGTAAGTATTATTAATAACCAGAACCGGTATATACGGCCGGAACAATTTAACGATTCAGCAAGAAATTCGTTTGTAACTATATACTTTTCCCATAAAATAATTATGTTATAAGACAAATCTCTATAACATATAATATGTTACATATTGGTATTGAATATCAGATATTGTTTGATGAGTGCTCAGTCATATACTATGAATTATACAATTTCTAATCTGTATTAAAATAAATATGATTTGATTAGCAATTATATAAATATATTTTAATAATTTTCAGACAATTTGCAAATATTTCTAACAAGAATGGCATCGAAAGGAGAGACAAAGTTTGACTTTAATGGTAACTTAAAATGATGTAAATTATGAATTGATTATATATTTAAATATTACAAATTGATTGCATGAGAGCACCAACACATTCGGTACAACCCATTGAGGGACGATTGGGTTCTCGTGAGTCCCCATCGAATGTGAGTTGATTTGCAATCAAATGATAGACTTGAACACTAATACTGATTGTGATACTGAATGTGAATTGAAAGGAGGCGCCCGTGGGCCGGACAACTGGAAAAGGAGTCCGAATCTGAGATTCCAGAGCACGACCCAAATAACCCATTGTGTCCGCGCTCTCGAAGAGCTAACGGAGTGCTTAATCCCGATTATAACGAGACATTTGTCTTTGATAACGACTTTCTAACATTGATATATGAAAAGGGTATTTTATTAATACAATATTCTGTTTAGAGATATTGTATATTATACAATGTATAACCATAACTTATAGTCTATAACAAACTACTCACGAGTCAGTATATGATACTTATATACAATTTCTAATCTGTATTAAAATAAATATGATTTGATTAGCAATTATATAAATTAAATATATTTTAATAATTTTCAGACAACTTGCGAATATTTCTAACAAGAATGGCCTCGAAAGGAGAGACAAAGTTTGACTTTAATGGTAACTTAAAATGATGTATATTATGAATTGATTATATATTTAAATATTACAAATTGATTGCATGAGAGCACCAACACATTCGGTACAACCCATTGAGAGACGATTGGGTTCTCGTGAGTCCCCATCGAATGTGAGTTGATTTGCAATCAAATGACAGACTTTACCACTAATTGTGATACTGAATGTGAATTGAAAGGAGGCGCCCGTGGGCCGGACAACTAGAAAAGGAGTCCGAATCTGAGATTCCAGAGCACGACCCAAATAACCCATTGTGTCCGCGCTCTCGAAGAGCTAACGGAGTGCTTAATCCCGATTATAACGAGACATTTGTCTTTGATAACGACTTTCTGAAAAGGAGTCCGAATCTGAGATTCCAGAGCACGACCCAAATAACCCATTGTGTCCGCGCTCTCGAAGAGCTAACGGAGTGCTTAATCCCGATTATAACGAGACATTTGTCTTTGATAACGACTTTCCTGCTCTTCTCGAGGAATGTCCCGAACTGTCTGAAGGAGAAAGCGATCCGTTGTTCCGAACGATTCCAGCGAAGGGAAAGTGTCGAGTGATTTGCTTTCATCCAAATTCTAGCATTTCTTTGCCTCTAATGACAAACGAAGAGATCCTAAAAGTAATCGATGTTTGGATCAAAGAAAGTGTAGAACTCGGCGTTAAATACAATTGGGTTCAGATATTTGAGAATAAGGGCGCTATAATGGGCTGCTCTAACCCCCACCCGCATTGTCAAGTATGGTCCAGTTCCTATTTGCCAAATGAGGCCAGAATTAAGAATGAAATGCAAAGAAAATATAAAGAAGTTAATGGGAGACCACTATTAATGGATTATGTGAGCAAAGAATTAGACAAAAAGCAAAGAATTGTCGTTCAGAACCAGAATTGGGTTGTTTTGGTACCATTTTGGGCCACCTGGCCCTTTGAGACCATGATTTTACCCAAAAGACATGTCCAGAGACTACAAGATTTGAATGAAACAGAAAGACGAGATTTAGCCGATGCTATGAAACGATTACTCATTAAATACGACAATTTGTTTGAAATATCGTTTCCATATTCTATGGGATTTCATGGTTTGTAACTTATTATGCTTTTGTNAACCAGAATTGGGTTGTTTTGGTACCATTTTGGGCCACCTGGCCCTTTGAGACCATGATTTTACCCAAAAGACATGTCCAGAGACTACAAGATTTGAATGAAACAGAAAGACGAGATTTAGCCGATGCTATGAAACGATTACTCATTAAATACGACAATTTGTTTGAAATATCGTTTCCATATTCTATGGGATTTCATGGTTTGTAACTTATTATGCTTTTGTACACTAAATTAATATAAAACACAATGTACTTGATTATAAATTGATGAACATAACCAATTTAACCGTAACCACAGGAGCGCCTACAGGAGAGTATCAAAGCCAAGACATGAGCCATTGGTTACTTCACGCTTCCTATTATCCGCCGCTTTTAAGATCAGCGACAGTCAAGAAGTTTATGGTTGGCTATGAATTGTAACCACAGGAGCGCCTACAGGAGAGTATCAAAGCCAAGACATGAGCCATTGGTTACTTCACGCTTCCTATTATCCGCCGCTTTTAAGATCAGCGACAGTCAAGAAGTTTATGGTTGGCTATGAATTGCTAGCGCAGGCACAGAGAGATTTAACACCTGAACAGGTTCACATTACCTTTGATTTTCATAAATGTCTGACAAGTATTTGTATCCATAGGCGGCTCAACGGCTTAGAGATGTGTCTGAAACTCATTACAAACGAAAAGCTTAAATGAAGTTTAAGTGAGATATTTACAAATAGTTTAATGAATTTTGAATAATTGATTACATAATAAGGAGTAAAATCAGTTGATATACAATCTTAAGGGAAATATTAATTGAAATAATAATTGTACTCAATTAAAATAAAGTTGTCTTCAAATGAAATTATAATTAAAATAACACAATATTTTGAGCGCAACTACTCATCAGTTGTAGAAAGACTGCAATATTTATATATAATTTGTTAGCAAATCATTTAATTATTATTAATTAAAAAGTGTTCAATCACTAAATGGTTAAAATCAAAATTAATCATAAATGGGAAGCAAAGCATAATTGCTGTTATTATCAGTTGGTGTTGTTGTGGTATCTCTTCATCCCATTATCTTCTTTATCCTCAGATATTATTATTATATAAGAAAAATATTAAACAATTCTTTAATATATTTGTTAATGTATTTCATGTGTAATATTTATCACATTTTAAAATATTTTTCTATAAAAGAGTAATTTTTCATAATCTGAGAATAAATGGGATTTAATGGCAGATATGGCGGATGAGCACTGGATTTAACACCAAAACAGATACCGGTTTTGATTGCATTCACCCATACATTAGTTAATTCTTTACATCCAATACATTATTGAAAATATTCGCACAATTTATACATCAAATGTTTGTTTTGTTTTGTGAGTGAATAATAAAAAATGATTGAATAGAAGGTAATTTGATAATTTAAGTGACCGGACACGTGACACACTGGACATCATGACTCGCCGTTACCGCTGTCTTCATTGTCCTCATCTTCGTTGTCCTCATTGTAGTCGTCGTCGTCGTCATCGTCTTCCATGTCGTCGCCATAATCGTCGTCATAGAAGTCGGTCATATCGGCCTCCGTTTCATTGGGTTTATTGCGATGTTTTATACAATACTCCTCCAGAGTGGTCGGCACCACCACATTGTCCTTCTCGGCCTCTAAACGACTGGCCGTCACTTGTTTCCTGTCAAACCCAATACAACTACAGTTCATACACGAGTGGATGGCACTAATCACTCACTTAATGATATTCTCGTATTCCTTGTCTCTGCCTTTGGATTCCTTCCAACGCCTATACATGACAGAGGCGTCCACATTGGCCGGGGAGAAGGTATTCGGCTCATTGAGCAGTGAGATCACACTTAACAGTACTGTCCTAAAGGGCATACATCACCAACACAGTCACCTATCACTCCAATCACATTCACGTTGACAATCATATGACAATACCTGACATTCTGGGTTGGGTTCCAGCGCTCGCACGGAAGTTCACCACTTTGGGGGTCATCGATAGGGGGGTGTAGTATTGAAATGCATAGATCGCCGTTCTGTAGACCAGTCAATCAGCCATTCATTAGCCATTTATCATCAAATGTGACATATTGTCAAAACTTACTTCATATACATTCGGGTGCCATACTTTGGTCAGGAACTTAAGGACTGGAGGATTATAAGGGTAGTCCTGTGGGAAAGTAACCCTCGCCTGTAAATAGACATAAGTATTGGTAAGAAGTGAAATATTTCTAAAGAGTTAGTCTATCGTATTGTAATACACACTACAGTATTGTAGTTATTGTGTATAGTGTGCCATATATTCAATCAAGTTTGAGGTCAAACTCAATGTACGACTCATTATACTTGTCATACGCTTTGCAATTGACGGCCAATTGACTCGTTATATGAAAGCAATATTTGAAACAAAAATCTGAATCCAATTCAAAGCAATTCAATTCAATTCAATTTAAACTCTTTGTTACGCAATCATAGGAGCAGACAATCAGCTGATTGTATGGGGGAATGGGGTCACTGGCCAGACATCAACTGCAAGCTATTATCACTATTTGTCTCAACTCTGGCTTCAATGCCAACTCTAATGAAGCACTGATTCCGTGAATTGAGTGCATCGTAGAGACAATGGTGTGGACAGTGAGGGAGTGGGGAAAGGGAGCAAATATGGTATACCTTGAAGTATCCGCCCTCATAGAGGGTCTCTGGAGGGCCAAAGATGGCCACTTCCCACTCAAACAGGTGGTCCTCATTGACGAGTTTGACTCGAAAGCCTTCGACCGGTTCTTCTTGTAAACTGTAAGACAAACCATCAAATGAATGGACAAATCAATTGAATCAGTGTTTGACACCATTTGGTTGACGCATTGAAAGCACAAACAAATAGCACGTAAGCGGCACCACAAGAGTGGTTGCAAAAAGTGGTTGCAAGTGATAGTCAAGTGATAGTAATGTGAAATGAGTGGACAGTAAGACGATTGGACACAAACCTCTTGAACTCGAGGGCCAGTGCTCTCAACGCACTGGTTGGCTGACTCGCCATTTAATGGCTATAATAGCGATGTGTTTGTCTTGAATGACCACTTTTGACGACAATTGATTTAATTAAGTATAAAATGAGACCAAATGTTAGCAAACATTGAGACGCATTGCTCTTAGACAGGGATCAGTTGATTGGTATGTGATATAAGGGTAACACTTATAGCGTATTCACTAATGTTTTCATGTTTTGTGAAATAAAGCAATGACTGAACGGTGAGTATTAGTGAATGATTGACACTTTAGTACAGTATGTATAGCACAGCAACACTTCACAAGTCCATAGAGACCGCCACCAACACTACCAACCCATTCAAATTGGCCACTAAATTGAACAAGTTCACGCTAAGAATAAGCATTCAACGAACATATGATAGGCAATTAGTGGAATATTTGACCAGGGTCATCAATGGCCATGCAACTATACCCCTTCCCATTTGTGCCATCCCTGCACTCTTTAACACGAAAATGATGAATCAATTACTGATAGGAATGAATGAATAAGTTTGTGGAGTTGTACTGCTATAGTGATCACTGATTCAATGTCTATTCAATTGAATGAAGCAATCATTGATTGAAACATTGAATACAGTAATTGTCACTTCATTGTGGTGGCAATGTGTGAGTCTTATCAATCCAGTTAATAGTGGTAGCATCAACTGAACAAGTGAACAAGGTGGTTCAACAGTAAGACAGTATTACTAATACTGTACATTAGATTCTAATGATTAGAACATTACAAACTAGGAAGTGGACAAAATTAAGAAAGCTAAACACATATTGTCATATGTTGTTTGTACAATCTAGAGTAGTTACTGTATATGTGTTACAGTTTGTCGGTGTATTATAATACACTGTGGCCTATCATTGTCAATGTGTTTCATAATCTATTCATATAATAAGTTATTGAACAAATGCTCTGGATCAATTGCAGTGAGTTGCAAATGCTTTGAAAACAAAGGAAGTGTCAGTTTTCATATGAATTGGTAGATTGTAGACAATATATGGTGTTCAGGGTGATGGCAATGATGATGATATAGCAGTAGTGGGCAATCGGTGGCCAATGAATGTGATTTCACTGATTCAATGTCTATTCAATTGAATGAAGCAATCATTGATTGAAACATTGAATACAGTAATTGTCACTTCATTGTGGTGGCAATGTGTGAGTCTTATCAATCCAGTTAATAGTGGTAGCATCAATTGAACAAGTGAACAAGGTGGTTCAACAGTAAGACAGTATTACTAATACTGTACATTAGATTCTAATGATTAGAACATTACAAACTAGGAAGTGGACAAAATTAAGAAAGCTAACACATATCATATGTTGTTTGTACAATCTAGAGTAGCCATCATTACTGTATTTGTGTTACAGTTTGTCGGTGTATTGTAATACACTGTGGCCTGTCATTGTCTATGTGTTTCATAATCTATTCATATAATAAGTTATTGAACAAATGCTCTGGATCAATTGGAGTGAGTTGCAAATGTTTTGAAAACAAAGGAAGTGTCAGTTTTCATATGAATTGGTAGATTGTAGACAATATATGGTGTTCAGGGTGATGGCAATGATGATGATATAGCAGTAGTGGGCAATCGGTGGCCAATGAATGTGATTGTAGTGATGGTTGGTTCGTGATGTGCGATTGCGAGCAGTGTATGGGTTAGAGACCTATGCCTATGCTATGCACTGCAGTATTGAGAGAGTGTGTGAAGTGTAGTCGTGTATACAGTGGTAGTGGTGTTGACTGTTTTCATGTTCGTTGTGAGAGTCTCATGAATCAATTGAATGAAAGGCCGGAAATTGATCGCAAACTTAATATTGGATGCATCAAATCACTGGCCTATCAATGGACACACTCGAGCATTGTTGACATTGTGGGCATCACTGGAGTGCATATCACTGTCACCTCTGCATCAAATTGTGTCCATGAGTGACCATCCCATGGATTAGTTCACAAATGTCTGTATTGAAGTCTTGTGCAGCAATACTGTGAACGCATATGAAAGCCGAGTATTACTGTTATCTCTTTTTGTGGTCTTATCGTTCAAGTCATACATATTTGTGTCAAATCGTGTGAATCTTACAAATCGGACATAAAATGGATCCAAACCTGTCATCGACTGAGAAAGAGGTAAATGAGTCTTCAATTCACTTGTATTGGCGTTCATTGCGTCCAACACTAACACTAACCCTATTTACCACTACTCTTACGGTTAAGACATTATTCAATAACACATCCATTGATTCCCGGTTTAAATGACAAATATGTCACTTATAGAGCATTTGTGTATCAATTGTCAATTGTTCTCATATATCACTTTGATAATATGTACTTGCTTATTCTATAAATATTTACAGTTTACAATTAAACAGAAAGTAGCATGATTAAATGACAATACAGTAGTGGCACTGCATTTCCCAATTAATTGATGTATTGTTGACTGTGTGTAGGCATTGAAGCAGTTTCTGGAGATCGTCAATGAGATCCGAGTGCAGCACAACACGAGTGATATGTCTCCGAAGACGGCCCTCAAGTTCCTGATGGCGCGCAAGTTTGATGTCCACCGATCTCTCGCCTTATATGAAGCGCACGAAATAACGCGATATCGCGAGGGTTTGGCCCAATTTGAGCCGCACTGCCAGCCCCTGAAGGCTGAGTTGGAAACGGGAAAGTTCACTGTTTTGGTTAGTTGTGTGTTGTCTATGTGTCGGCGTATGTCTGCTTCACTCACGCGTCTGTATCCCTCTTACAGCCCGTTCACGACAGTATCGGCGCAGCCATTGCTATGTTCTCAGCGGGAAAGCACTTCCCAAATGAAACATCACATCAGACCACACTTCAAGGTATGTATGACAAGATGTCGATGACTTGGTTGTCGCTTAAGACTTGATGCCATTGCAGGTGTTGTCTATCAAATGGACGTGGCATTGGAAGACATTGAGACTCAAAGATCTGGAATAGTATTCATATATAATATGATTGGTTCCAAGTATTCAAACTTTGACTACGAGTTGAGCCAAAAGATATTGAGTCTCCTGAAGGGCGCATATCCGGCGCGACTCAAGAAGGTGTTGATAGTGATGGCCCCGCTCTGGTTTAAGGCTCCCTTCAAGATATTGAGACTCTTTGTTAGAGAGAAACTTCGCGATCGAGTATTTATGGTAAACGTGTCTCAACTCTCAACTCATATACCGCTCAATGCATTGCCCCGAGAATTGGGCGGACAGTTGGAAGTGAATCACATGTCATGGCTTTCTCGTTGTCTTCAGTCTCAGAGCAGTGATATCAATGAGTTGTGTTCTCTGACATCATCCAAGTCTTTCTCGCTGAACACAACGGCTGCTCAATCGGACGGTGCAAACATGACAGACATATCTAAGAAATTGTGTGAACAGACAAACAACGGGTTTAGTGATGATGACGAGCCCTCGTCGACCAATAGTGATAAGTGTGTCAATAATGCCAATAATGCCGACAAAAACGGCTCAATATTATTATCCAATTCTGCAAACGATCGCAACTTGACATCAAAATCAAACAAATCTAAACCAATCATATCTGTGCCCATCAATCACATGGAGTCCGAGAGAGGGATCGAGTCGTACAACAACTCCAACTCTAGTGAACCAATTATTCATAGCCAACCATAAACTTCTTGACTGTCGCTGATCTTAAAAGCGGCGGATAATAGGAAGCGTGAAGTAACCAATGGCTCATGTCTTGGCTTTGATACTCTCCTGTAGGCGCTCCTGTGGTTACATTATATTCGTACAAAAACACCAAATTAACATTTGGACAATCAAAAATGTTCATCAATTTATAATCAAGTACAGTATGTTTTATATTAATTTAGTGCACAAAAGCATAATAAGTTACAAACCATGAAATCCCATAGAATATGGAAACGATATTTCAAACAAATTGTCGTATTTAATGAGTAATCGTTTCATAGCATCGGCTAAATCTCGTCTTTCTGTTTCATT